AGGGGAAAGAAAGAGCCCGAGCTTATTAACCCCAATGAAGCAGCCTGGCCCCTGGGTCTGTGCAGGTGAGTGAATTGATGATGCTTCAGATGACGACGTGCTGAGAGGAGGCAGGGAAGAGGAAAGGGAAGGAGACTGGGGGGGTGCGGCCAGGACTCCTGCAGCCACAGGAGTTGGGTGCTTCTAACCCGCAGAGGTTAGAAGCTGGGCATAGGCTGCGGATGGCAGAGGAAGCTACCCTGGCCTGGGGCAGCCATCCTCCAACTGGAAGGAGATAACCTCTACCCTCAAGGGGCATCCAGCTGACAGTGAACCATGGGTTCTTCTATCAGGGAGCTCCCACCCAAGGGGAAGGGTGGCTCCTGTCCTGTGGGTACCTTAGTCTGCAGGGGGAAGCAGACCGATCCTTAGGGTGATCCCAGTCTGATCCCAGGTCCTAGCATTCGGAAGCCCCCATCCATGGGGGAAGACGTGGCCCTTCTCCTTAGGAAGCAGGCTGAGGTACAGAGGAGCCCCACGCCAGGATGGAGCTGGGCTGGGGAAGGGCAAGGATGGAGGAGTCAGGGAGGCCAGAAAGACTGGGAGACAGCCTCTACTCTGAGTTCCTCCTGGGCAGTTGGAGATAGCTGACACGTGTCCCCGGCAAACCCAAAGCCAGGGGCAAACGGTGCTGACTCCTACCCTGTCCTCACTGGCTGCTGCCACCTGCGTCCTGTCCACACCGCCAACTAACTGCCTGTGTTGGGGGTGGGGACACACTGTCCCTGCTCCACCAACATGAGGTGAACAGGACATGGCAGCCCCTCCCCCAGGTGGACCCAGCTTCCAATCTGGGCCCACCCCATCGCACATGTGCTAACATGTAGATATATAAATCACCACAGTGGTCGGCAAACTGCGGCTCGCAACCACATGCGGCTCTTTGGCCCCTTGAGTGTGGCTCTTCCACAAAATACCGACTTCTGCGCATGGGCCACAAAGTTTCAATCGCACTGTAGGTGTGCGCCCGCCCGTGGTATTTTGTGGAAGAGCCACACTCCAGGGGCCAAAGAACCGCATGTGGCTCGCGAGCCGCAGTTTGCCGACCACTGACCTAGTAGGTGTTATTAAATGGGAGCTGTGATTTATCAAGCACCTGCTGCATCCTCCGGCTTTCACTGATTTGATCCTCACAACTACCTTGGCCGTGAGTATGGCTAGTCCCATGTTGCAGATGTGGAAGTGGAGACTCAGAGACGGGACCTTAAGTCAAGATCACACAGCTATTGAGTAGCCACAGCCCTGCTCTTCCCTAGAGGGCGTTGCCGCAGCAGTCAGAGGCAACTTGGGGGGGAAAAAAGGGGGTGATGCCTCTGGGTGAGCCCAGCTTTCTCTGCCTCCAGACCTGGTAAGCTGAGCACTGCCATCTAGTGGCCACCAGGGCCCGGTTCCCTTCCTCAGAGATGGTCAGGGAATGGACACACTGAGTGGTGCACAAGGAGTCAGCCAGAGAGACCCACGTTCTCTTCATCCCACCCACACTTGCTGCCCACCATGCTGTGCGGGTACTAGGAGAGTGGCAGGGGTTCCAGCAGAGCCAGTGGGCGGCAGTCTAGTGGCAAAGCAGCCACTTGAATTAGAGGTTGGCAAATCTGGAAAACACTGGGCGCCTGTGTGTGGGTTGAGGCCAGGTGTAGTGTTGGCCTGTCCTGCGAGACATGTGGGCCCTGTAGGCAGGTGGGCATCTTGACAGATTGATGACACAGGGGTGGGGGTGCAGGGGTAGAAGGTCATCTTAAATCTACTTCAACCTGAAGTGGGGCATGGCCTGTCTGAAGGCCCTGTGGAGGGGTAATCGGGCACCCTCTCCCCATGGCCCACAGCTTTCTGCTGCCTAGTGAAGAAGTTGGTCTAGCGATTGGCCTGAGGCTTTAGATGTTGAGGCCCTCAGGTTGGTGAAGCAGGAGAGGAAACACCATGTAGATGGGACCTGAGCCAGTCCAGGAGGATGCAAATAGCAGTGGAGGCTGGGAGCTGTTTCTGCCTGGGGCAGATGTGCATCATAGTGGAGAGAGGGGGGAGGGGGGAAGAGAGACAACACAACTGTCTAACAATAGGACTTGGTTAAATTAATGCATATGGAAGAAAACCATACAGCTCTTAAAATGATGATGTATGTGCCGAGCAGGCACAGCCATGGGTGAACCTCAGAGGGGGTGGTGAAGGATGGAGAAGACAGACAAGAGAATAAAGCTGGGGCTAGGGGGACGCTGCCCTCTCTAATGAGGAGACAGCACCACAGCCTGCACACCGAGTCTTTATTTTATAGCCAGATTCCACGAGGCAAAGCAAGGGCATGGTTGAGATGTTTACAATGTTCTCACGGGTTTCGAATCTACTCAATTACATGCACCTGATCAAGCTTTGTTTACTTGCTGCACCTCCTGCAGCCCATATCACTCAGCCACGTGGGACCACAGGTTCGAACCATAGGTCCCTCCAAGCAGGGACTTGCACGTGGCCATGAGAGGACCGTGCCTTCCAGCGGTTCTCAACCTGTGGGTCGTGACCCCTTTGGCGGTCGAACGACCCTTTCACAGGGGTCGCCTAAGACCATCCTGCATATCAGATATTTACATGACGATTCATAACAGTAGCAACATTACAGTTATGAAGTAGCAACGAAAATAATTTTATGGTTGGGTCACAACATGAGGAACTGTATTTAAAGGGCCAGAAGGTTGAGAACCACTAGTCCAAGGCTTGAACCTGTCCAAACACTGTAGCCGCTCTCCACACACAGGTAGGATTCACTGGGCGACACTGACCAGCACTTCCTGCTCTTGTTAGGCCTTTTCCCTTTAGGACTGCTCGGTGCTCATTTCAACTAGATTTCACTTGCACAAGAAGAGGAGGCTGCACACTGTGCCTTGCCCAGCAAGCTGGAAACACAGCCGCTCCCAGCTACAGAGAGGAGCCCTGTCTTTCCCCAGCTCCTCCACCCACGACAAGGTCAAAAGTCACTAGCACCCCCTTCGGGATTCCCTCGCCATGAAACTGCTCAAGCCCTGGGGTCAGATGTGGCTAAGACTTAGGGACTCTTACCTCCTCTCTCTGTGCTGGGACTCACACAGAGGATGCTGGGGAAGATGCTTTTCATGTGGGCACGTTATGGGCTGCATGCTGGGTTTCCCCCTGTGAGTCCCAGCTTCGGGGCCTCTAAGAGCTGGGGAGGGGGTGAGCAGCCAGGCCTTGTCTGCAGAGCTGGAGACCTGGCCGTGCTGGGTTGGCCACCCCCGGGCCTTCCCCTCGTGCCCACTGAATGACTCACCTTGGCACAGACACAATGGTCAGGGGTGGGCACAGGGCCTGCTTCCCGCTCCACTCCAGCCCCGTCAGATGCTTTCCGAGAAGCTCTTTGAGCAGGGGGCTTGGGCTGCACCCTGCCTAACAGCCTGGCATCCTGGGATAAAAGCAGCACAGCCCCCCGCGGGCTGCCCTCGCTGCGCGGCGCCCTCACCGGCGGCGGAGAACAAGGCTCCATTCAGCAAGTGCCCAGCAAAAGGGATCAGAGGCCCAGGCGTGGGCAGCAGGCAGAGTGGGGGTGGGAAGAAGGCTGCCCACTTCCCAGAAGTCCAAGGACACGGATGGGTGGGGGTCCTGGGTGGGGTGCTGACCTTGCAGGACCAGAGTAAAAGGGGCAGATGGATTTGAAGTCTCAAGGGGCAACAGGGCCCAGGCCCAGGCCCAGGTTCCCAGTTCGGAAGCAGTGGCTCATGGGTTCCCAAACTCACCTACCCCTACAGGCCTTTCCCCGTCTTCTCAACCTGATGTGTGGGAACTCGAAGGAGATAAATCTCCAGTGTGAGAGTGAGGTGAGGGGTGGCCAGGGAAACAGGGTATTACAGGAACAAAGATGGGAGTAGGGACAGCCAGCTCATTCATAACTGCTTTGTGGAGCTGTCAAGGCCTGGGCTCTGGGAGGGGGTGCAGGGAAGCTGGGCACGGAAGGGTGAGTTCTGTGAGACTGAGGCGGGGAAAGGGCCAGAGAGTGCAGTGCCTGCCCCCTCTTGCTCTATCAGGACCCCCAAGTTCCTTTCATCATCCCCCACTGCTAGAGAGAGGCCTCAATTGACCCTCCAGCGGTCACCAACCTTTTGGACCTCACGCACCACTAGTGGTCCGCAGACTACCGGTTGGCGATCCAGACAAAAGGCCGGTGATCAATTTCAGTCCACAGCCCCAGAACTCCAGGGAGTGGGAAGAAAGCAGGAATGCGGGATGCCTGTATTCAGAGGAATGGACTCCAGCAATCTCTTGGGAATTGGCTTGGCAAGAAACTGTAACACAGAATTCTCAGCACCTATCAGGCACTCGAAGGAGCAGTGCTGAGTGAGGGAAGGCCCTGGGTTATGGGATCTAAGAGTTAGAAGGCAGGTCAAAGGTCACCTGGTCCAGCCTTTTCTTTTTTTTAAATTAAATTTCTGCTTTTTAAAAATATATTCTATTGATTTTTTACAGAGAGGAAGGGAGAGGAATAGAGAGTTAGAAACATCGACAAGAGAGAAACATCCATCAGCTGCCTCCTGCACACCTCCCACTGGGGATGTGCCCGCAACCAAGGTACATGCCCTTGACCGGAATCGAACCTGGGACCCTTCAGTCCGAAGGCCGACGCTCTATCCACTGAGCCAAACCGGTTAGGGCAGTCCAGCCTTTTCTTAACCCACCTTCCTAGAGAGAGGGTCTCCTTGCCCAGTGATTGGGCCTCAGACCTACCATCTGGCCCCAGGCAGTGCCCACCAGTACCTCTGACTGTGGCCAGGCTGGGGCTGGCATGCCCAGGAGGCCCTGCCTCTGGGCACAATGACCTCAGTGGGGTGAGAACTCTCCCCATGGCTGGGCTGCAACCCAGCCCCACCTCCTCAGGCTATGCCAGGGGGTGTTGCCAGGGACAATCTGGCCTGTGTCAAGACAGCCCCTTCCTTCATAAAGCCCTCGCATCCTAGGAGCCCGCAGAGCCAGGCCAGGATGGAGAGGAGACGGGTCACCTCAGCTGCCCGCCGCTCCTATGTTTCCTCCTCGGAGATGGTGGTGGGGGGCCTGACTCCCAGCCACCGCTTGGTTCCAGGCACCCGCTTCTCCCTGGCTCGAATGCCACCCCCACTCCCGGCCCGGGTGGACTTCTCCTTGGCCGGGGCACTCAACACCGGCTTCAAGGAGACGCGGTCCAGTGAGCGGGCAGAGATGATGGAGCTCAATGACCGCTTCGCCAGTTACATCGAGAAGGTGCGCTTCCTGGAACAGCAGAACAAGGCACTGGCTGCGGAGCTGAACCAGCTGCGGGCCAAGGAGCCCACCAAGCTGGCTGACGTCTACCAGGCTGAGCTGCGCGAGCTGCGCCTGCGGCTCGATCACCTCACCGCCAACTGCGCCCGGCTCGAGGTGGAGAGGGACAATCTGGCGCAGGACCTGGGCACCCTGAGGCAGAAGTGAGGAGGGGGCCTGGGAGAGGGGCCTCATGAGCAGGGAGGACTGAGCCCCCAGGAGGCAGTGCCCGCAGACCTGCGGAGACTCAAGCCGGGGACTCTGCCTCCCTGCTCACTGGTTTCCACATCTCTGGGAAGGGAGGGCCGTCCTTGCTCCCCCAAATGATGGCAGGGACTGGGAGAAGGCTCAGGGCCTCAGGGATTTGGTTCCCCAAGACCCTCTACCAGGAAAAAGGGCACCTCAGCACCTGCCCCCCGGGGAAGTCTGTGCTAGAGCAGTCAGGGGCCCCAGCAGTTGTGTGTTTCATTCACTCTGGGGCCCTGTGACGGTGGGCGGGGAGCGCACCTATTCTGAGCCCGGGTGCACAGAGAGGAGAACACGGAAGGGAAGGTTGGTGTGCCCCAGGAGGACCTGGCCTGGGGGGAAAGGGAGGGGGGGGAAGAGCAGAAAAGCCTGGCTTCAGAACACAGGTGACTCGGTCTGTCACCAGCTTAGGATCCTAGGCAAGGCTTCAACTTGCACAGCTGTGAAGCAGAGATCTTAATAACACCCATTTCCAAAGGCCAGGGGGAACCCCAGGGGCTTGGTGCTTTGCCGAGCCAGCTGGGCATGCGTGTGTGCCCTCAAGTGCAGGAGGACATGTGTGTGTGCCAGGAGCGGTGAGTGTGTGATGGTGGAAGCGCCTGTGTGAGCAGGAGCAGGTGCAGCAACCCTGATAAGGCACCTCAGTAATGAGTTACAGCCAAGGCCCTCAGCTGTTCACTTTCCTTGCCAAGGTTCTCCTTCGGCCCCTCCACTAGTCCTGGGTTAGGGGGTGCTCTCTGGCAGCCACCTCCAGGGAGATTGGGGCCGGGGTCCAAGAGTCCTCAGAAGAGCATGGACCCAGGAATGTGTCCCCCTACCCCAGGCTCCAGGATGAAACCAACCTGAGGCTGGAGGCCGAGAACAACCTGGCTGCCTATCGACAGGTCAGGGGGGTGGAGGGGTGGGGCGCAGGAGGGGGGAAAGGGTTGATGGCAGTCCACCCAAACACGGGCCCCACCAGCCCTTCTGAGCAATGTGCTGCTCTCCCAGCCCCCGAAGGTGGGTGGACAGACAAGGCCAGGGAATGGGGAGGAAGAGTCTGGGGTCAGAGTGGCCCTTTGCCTCCTCCCTACTTTAGGAGGCAGATGAAGCCACCCTGGCCCGTCTGGATCTGGAGAGGAAGATTGAGTCTCTGGAGGAGGAAATCCAGTTCTTGAGGAAGATCCATGAGGAGGTAAAGCCCAACACAGAGATTGGAACCGAGAGAGAGAGAGAGAGAGAGAGAGAGAGAGAGAGAGAGAGAGAGGTTAAAAACAAAAAGAGAAATTGAGGAAGACAGAAATAGAGACAGACAAGAGAGCATCAACAGCCCCAGGTAAAATGCACACAGATACACACTCCACTTATTGAGAATTACAAAAGTTTTGGGACCTCTTTTTCTCCACTATAGCCCTGTGGGAGGGACCTTTCAGTATAATCTCCTTTTCACAGGGGACATTGAAGTCCACAGAGGTTAGAGCACTTGCTAAACTCACACAGTCTCTCTGACTCCATTCATTCTGCCATCTGTCTCCATTTAACCGAGAACCATTCATAACGGAAAGGATCCCAATTAGCTCTGACCTCAGATCATGGATTCAGCATCCATGACCCCATGGAACCTGGGAGCCCGCGGGCACACACGCACAGGAACTCAAACACTCTCTCATAATGACACGGGTACACTTTCCGTCTCCTGCCTGTCCAGGCCTGGGGAGAGGACACCATGAGGCCCCAAACCCCCCTGCCTCCTCTCGCCTGGGCCATGCACTTCCTCCGACTAGGGCTGTCCCATTTCCCTTAGCCATCATCGATGTCCGACAGGCAGGCAGAAGAGGGCAATCAGAAAACCCCAACTGCAGCCTGGGCTCTGAGCCCTGCTATCCCTTCTCTCACCTGGTCAGGAGGTGCGGGAGCTCCAGGGGCAGCTGGCCCGGCAGCAGGTCCATGTGGAGCTGGATGTGGCCAAGCCAGACCTCACAGCGGCCCTGAGAGAGATCCGCACCCAGTATGAGGCAGTGGCATCCAGCAACATGCACGAGGCAGAGGAGTGGTACCGGTCCAAGGTAACCCTGATTGTGGGCCAGCCTGCCTCCTCCAGGCAGCCCTCCTGGCTCCATACAAGACACTCAGGGAAGCTGGGAGAGGATCCTCTCTGGGTGACTGACATTCACCAGACAAGTGAGGTGACTTGCCCAGAGACACACAGGCAATATTACTTCTAATAAGAACTTATTACTATTATTATTTGACAACACTGATGTGTGTCAGGCCTTGTGCTTTGCATAGATTATCTTACTATGAAGTAGGTACTGTTCTTTGATAGATGAGAAAACTGAAGTCCATAAAGGTTAACTAATTTGCCCAAAGTCACACAGCTTCAAAGCGGTAGAGCTGGGTTTCCACCCTAGCCAGCTCACTTGGGAGCCTGCATTCTTGATGCCTCTGCCCTCTGTGTCTTGGATTATTGAGCATTTGCTGCATGCCAGGCACTGCCCAGGCTACAGAGACATGTCTGGCCAGGAAGATGTGATGTGCACCCAAGTACGGTGTCTTATGGACAACACTGCAGGGCAGAGTCTATACACAATGTGGGGACCAGGGAAGGCATCATAGAAGGGAGGGCAGTTGGCCTAAGCAGGACCGGCAGGCCATGAAGAGAAGAGGGAAGGGGCATTCCGAGTGCAGGACAGAGCATGTGTAGAGGCCTGGAGGCAGAGGGCACAGAGAGGTGGGGCCCGGAGATGCTGGCCCAGGGCACAGAGCTGAGGAGTGTGAGTGGCAGAAGCCAATGATGGTTCTGAGCAGACTGCGGCCTGATGGAGCCCCGAGGGCTTCGCTGCCAGCTGGGGGAGGGAGGGCTATTAGAACCCATTACTGTCCAGGTGGGGGAAACAGGGTTCAGGCCTGTAGATGGAGGTGCCAGTGCAGGAGATTCTGGGTTCTGTGGCAATCCTGCTCGTTCATTCATTCCCCGACCAGGCATCATGCTAGGTGCTGAAGACGCAGCAGTGGCTTCTGTGTCTGCTACCCATGGGTCACAGCCTCTGGGAATAATCCCACCCAGGGCCAGTGTCCTGGGGCGACCGAGACCACAGCCCTGGGGTCCTGCCCAGCTCCCTGATTTCCCAGAGACCGTGCCTTCCCAGGGCCCACACAGCTCCCCATCTGCGGCTGCCACCCGCCCTTCAGCTTAAGGCCTTCTTCCCCATCTAGTTTGCGGACCTGACGGACGCCGCTGCCCGCAACGCGGAGCTGCTCCGCCGGGCCAAGCATGAGGCCAACGACTACCGGCACCAGCTGCAGGTGTTGACCTGCGACCTGGAGTCCTTGCGCGGGACGGTGAGCGGGAGCAGAGCCGGAGGCGGGTGGACGGGGGCAGAGAACTGAGGCTGGCGAGAGGGAGGAGGGGACCTGCCACCCCCAGGGATGCTAGAGGAGAGGGGCCAAGGGTGGGACCAGGACTGGGGGCGGGGCCAGAGCGGGGGCGAGGCGGGGCCTCAAAGGCCTCCCCAGCTGGTCCCATCCAAGGGGCGAGAGGGTGCCTGGAGGGACCGGCTGGCTTCCACCCTTCAGAACCAGTCCCTGGAGAGGCAGATGCGGGAGCAGGAGGAGCGTCACGCGCGGGAGGTAGCGAGTTACCAGGAGACCCTGGCCCGGCTGGAGGAGGAGGGGCAGACCCTCAAGGACGAGATGGCCCGGCACCTGCAGGAGTACCAGGACCTGCTCAACATCAAGCTGGCCCTGGACATGGAGATCGCCACCTACAGGAAGCTGCTGGAGGGCGAGGAGAACCGGTGAGCCTGTCCAGCCCCCTCCTAACCCAGTGCCCAGCACAGTGCTCCATTAATACACAGTAGGCATTCAACAAATGTTTGATGAATGACTGAATGGGTTCAACTCAACCGATGTTGACTAGGTCCCAGGGCAAGGACTAAACTAAAAGGCTCATCCCCCACCCTCCCAACAATAATTGGACTTCTTTTCCCCTGACCTATCTCTTGTGCCTCCTCAGAACTTTCTTTGCCCTCCCCTCTGCCATCCTCCAAGCCCCCATCTTCCATAACATCCGAGCCCCTTGCAGACTCTTGGAGCTCCATGGAGCATGTTGGCTGCTGAGGAAAATTAGGAAATGCGCTCCTGGAGGCTGTCATGATGACCCCGAGTCAGGACCTGGCCTGGGATGGCCTGGTCACTGCTCTCCCTCTGCTGTCTTTCAGCATCACCATTCCTGTGCAGACCTTCTCCAACCTGCAGATCCGAGGTCAGTAGAGCAGGCCGAGTGGCCGGGGTATTGGGTTAATGCCCCTCCCCCAGGCCTGTGGGCTGCTGCTCTGGCCTGGGGCTGAGAACCTGGGTAAAAGGTTCCAAGGCGCTCCTTGGGGGCCTTCATGATTCACCGTGGAGTTTCTGGCCAGATCACACCATCCCAGGGCATCTTAGGTGGGGCTTGCAGCCACTCCTGTCCTGCTCTGCCCTGTGTCCCCCTTTCATCCCTGCACCCCATTCCCTACAGAATTGGGCGAGGGTCTCAACCTCTGTCCTGTCTGCAGATCCCTGAACACTTGCAGATCCTCTGCCCACCTGAGTGTTTTATGTTTTTGTTTTTTCAACTGCTTGTCACTACAGGGGGCAAAAGCACCAAAGAAGGGGAAGGTCACAAGGTCACAAGACATCTCAAAAGCCTCACAGTACAAGTTATCCCAATTCAGGCTCACCAGATTGTAAACGGAGCCCCGCCGGCTCTCGGTTAGCTGCCCGCCTCTCAGACACGGTGCTTTCCCCCACTCGGCAGGGAGGGAGCCTCACCAAGTCCATGTTCCCCATCCTCCTGGGCTCCCTCCTCCCAGGTTTCCCTAAAGGGCCAGCCTGTGCCATCTTCCCAGCAACCTCAGTGCCCAGCTCAGGACCTGGCACAGGGTAAATGTAGGTTAGGACCTGGCACAGTGTAAATGTAGGTGAAACTAGCAGACCGGCTGGTGTTCGGGGTGATACGTCCTCAGGTGCTCAGGGGAGATGCTCTGGGGCCTCTGAGCAAATGCCAGCCTCCTCCTCACTCCTTCCCCATCTGAGAGGGCCCCTAGGGCCTCTGTGCCCAGTGGCAAGCTCTCTGCTTGAGTCGTCGGTCCCCGAGGCTCCGTTGCTCAGCTCGATGCTGATTCAGCCCCGAGGATTATTTCCCCCTGGACTGCTGCTCTTGTAGTGAATAAGGTTTTACACTCCCTGCTCTTAATTTTAAATATCAGTGAGTGTTATATTTTTCTCTCCGAGGGGAAAAGCTAAATTACTTCTTACTTGTGTGTGGGCCTCCGCTACGGGGGGAAAGGTCTTCTTCTTCTGGGCTAGACATTTAGGAAGTAGATATGTGTGTCCTAGGACTTAGTTCAGCATCAGAAAAGATAATGGGGGGGGGGGGTGCCAGCTAGAGGTAATACTGCCAAGTCCCAGACAGTAAAGGGCCATTAGGGCCCAGAGAAGTGGCAGAGAGAAGTAGGAGAGGGGAGGAGGGACAGGAAAGGGACCCACACGTACTGAGCCAATCACTTCACATACATGATTTCAGTTGACTGACTCCTCACTCCCACCTAGAGAAGTAGGCACCATGTCCCCATTTTACAGATGAGGAAACTGGGACTGGGAGAGGTAAAGTAACTTGCCCACAGTTGTGTGGCTGGTTAGTGGCTGAGCTGGGACTCCAGCTCTGGCCCGCCTGGTTTCAAAGCCCACGTGCTCCTTCCTCGACACTGGGTTGTGTTGTCAGAAAGCTGGGTCCCGGGCAAGGGCTCACAGAGGGACTAAACGCAGCCAGGCCAGGAGAGCCAGAGGGCAGTGGACAGAGCAGCCAGGACTTGCCCAACACAGCGGGGACTGGGGGGTCGCCAGCCCCTGTGGAAGAGCCGAGGCCCTCCCTGCCCGGTTGGATAGGCCTCTGTACTCATGCTCTGGGTGCGACAGGGAGCCGGGGTGGCAGAGGATGTCTAGCGCCCCGAGAGCCCACAGGAGGCCTCCTCTCCTCACATCCACAGAAACCAGCCTGGACACCAAGTCCGTGTCAGAAGGCCATCTCAAGAGAAACATCGTGGTGAAGACTGTGGAGATGCGGGATGGAGAGGTGAGGACAGCAGCCCTGGGATTCTGGCTCCGTCAGCTCTGGCTGCCCCAGGAATTCTTGAGGCCAGGCTCTGGAATGAAGCCCGAACTGGCACATGGAAGGGTCTTGATAACTCACAGGGCTCTCCAGGGAGGCTCTGGAAGAGGGGAAGGAGCCTGGATGTGATTAGATTCCCCACCCCCTCCGCCGGCAGTTCTAAGGGGAGCCTGGGTGCCTAGGCCACGGCATGGGTCCTGACGTGGGCTTTCTCCAGGTACCCCAGCGCCAGGCCTGGGGGAGAGGGAAAGAAAATTAAAGACGTTAGCAGTTTTCACTACCAACTTTCCATTTCCAGCTTGGTTAAAGGAACCTTCCAGAGGAATGGGAAAGGGGGATTTGGCATAACCCACTCCCCATCCCACCAGCAATGGTTCTAGCTCAGTGGTTCTCAACCTTGGCTGCACATTAGAATCACCTGGGAATCTTTTTAAAATCCTGATTTCTGGGCCTCATCATCCGGAATTCTGTTTCTTTGTTATGGGGTGGGGCCACAACATTAGTAAAAAGAAACAGAATTTCCAGAGGATGAGGCCCAGAAATCAGGATTTTAAAAAGATTCCCAGGTGATTCTAATGTGCAGCCAAGGTTGAGAACCACTGTTCTAGCTAATTTCACACCATCAGCTCACCATGTGCCTGGCCTGGTGCTAAATGATTTACAGGTGTGACCTCATCCCCCCTCCGACTGCTGCGAGAGGGAGTTCTGGTTACCATCATAGAAAGCAAAGACCCAGCGAGTCTGGGGACTCGCCCACGGTCACATAGCCTGGCAGTGGTGGGCCCAGGGTCGGAGTGAGCTCCTGACTGTGGCACTGTGCACCTTCTCTGTCCCCTGCAGGTCATTAAGGAGTCCAAGCAGGAGCACAAGGACGTGATGTGAGGCGGGAACCACCTGGAGGCCCCTGTTCCCTATCGGGAGGGGCCTGCAGCAGTAAACAGGATAGTTGCCCATCCTCTGATACTCATTTCCCCAGACCTGAGTTCCCACCACCCCATTGCAGCTGCTCCCCACGACGTCTCTATGCCAGCTTTTGCCCTAGGCTCTGTCAGCAGTAGGCCCACCAGACAGCACCCACCCCACTCCCAGCAACTCCATCTAAAAGGGCACTCACCCCAAAGGGGCAGCCTGGAGGGGCATGGCCAGAAGCTTGGGTTAGAATTGGGAGGGAAGAGAGAAGTTGGGGAGGGCCTAGAGACCTAATAAATCACTCTCCATAGCCTAATCCCTGTTGTCATGGCAACCGTTGTCAGAGCTGGCGGTCTCTGGGCTATCTGGGAAGTGGGCCTTGGAGTTTCCTCGGGCTGCTGGAGGAAAACCGAGACTCTGAGACAGGAAGGGGAAGTTCCCACAGGCAAGGTAGCCCTGGCCAGCGGCTCATGGCCAGTCTGATAGTAGGCGGGGGTATCCTACCACCTGGCGTCCCCAGCAGACAGAACGCCTGGCCTGCCCAGAGGGAATGATGATTCAATGTTGATTCAAGTGTCTCAGCCTCACTGAGCTGCCATGTGGGCAGTGAGAGCTTGATTCTCAGCACTGGGGGATCTTAGTATTCGTAGAGAGGGCAGTGGTGCTGGGAAGGAGTAACGGGGGCTGCTCGGCCCCTAGATGTCAGTTCATGGAGGTCAAGCCCAGGAGGACTTCCCCCAAATAGGGGAGGGAGGCAGGTAGAGGTGGAGGAGGGAGGAGGAGGATGCTAGGCATCAGAGTTGGGGTTGTGGATGACCAGCTATACTTGGCCTCTGGGTCGTGGGAATCAAGGAAGTGATGCATCCTCTTGAAGATACTGAAATAAGAGAAAAAGGGGCTGCCGTCCACAGGGGCAGGACACACTTTGTTCAGGTCTAAAGGCCCCTTCCTTGCTGCATAATCCCTGTCCACCCAAAGCCTCTGAGCCCCTGCAGCTGCTGCCTCCCAACCCAGCAAATACTGCTGGGTGAAGCCAACGCCATCCATCTGCCTGTCTGCGCCCCATAGTGACCTGATGCTTTTCCCTAAACTAAGGGCCCTGTGGTCCCCTCTTATCAAATGCAAGCTGTACCAGTATCCTAGGTAGCACTCTGTTTTATAATTCAGGAAATGGAGGCACGAGCAGAGTGAAGACCCTGGATTGGGTCGCTACGGCCTGGAGAGGGAGCACACACTTCCACCCGGAGCATCTACTCTGCTTTCCGCAGGAGGATTGTGGGGAGCGTGGGATTATCTGTGCCCAGAAATGGGACTGAGGAGACCCACTCCAGGGGCCCCCTCTTCCCTCTAAGGCAGCGGTTCTCAACCTGTGGGTCGCGACCCCTTTGGCGGTCAAACGACCCTTTCACAGGAGTCGCCTAAGACCATCCTGCATATCAGATATTTACATGACGGTTCATAACAGTAGCAACATTACAGTTATGAAGTAGCAACGAAAATAATTTTCTGGTTGGGTCACAACATGAGGAACTGTATTTAAAGGGCCAGAAGGTTGAGGACCACTGCTAAGACTAATGGGAGGGAGAGATGGGAATCTCTTTCCAAGACTTGGTGCCCTTTCTCTGACTCCCTCCTGCCACCCACCGATGCCTTTAGTCACTGAGGTAAATAAAGCCAACTGCTGTGGCCGCCCTCCGAGTGGACTCTCATCTGTTCAGGAGAAGCTGGGGCCGGGGGAAGGGAGCAGCAAGTGACCTTGCACAAGACCCAGCATGCTTCTTGTCACTGATCATCTCCAGAGCTCAACACCCCCCGTAGCAGCAGCCACATGACAAATCCCACCTCCAACCCTGCTCTGCCCTAGCAGTCCTGGTGCCCCCCATAGCCCCCCCTCTTTGCTCCCAGCTCCTCTTCTCACCCCCAGTCTCCAGCATAGGTGCAGTCTCTCAGGAAAGCCCTGAATTGGACCTCCATTTTCCTCACCCGTTTCCCCTGACCTAGTCTTTACCTTTATTCCCAAACCTGCCATTTCTACCAGCCGGTCCCAGGACAAGGCTGGGAGGAAGGCAGAGAGGACATATACGTGGCTCCCCCACTCTTTTCTTCCTTCCTCTCCATGATACCCCCAATTTAACCAGCACCCACTTGGCAGTCCTCAAAGGCAAGAAAAGAAAGCACCTCAAACACTGCTCGATACTGAACAGGCCATTTAATAAATATGAGGTTCCCTTCCTCCTCCTCTGACCTGATGAAGTCGGAAGACACGTGCACCTTGGCTACTTGCATCATAGCCTCCGTCCCATGTCCCACCTGCCTCAGGCTTCTCCACCTCCCAGATCAGGCCCCAGATGTGCCCATGAAAACAGGGAGCAGGATGTCACTCACAAACTTGTTCGCACTCCCTTGCCACACGTCCCAGCCCAGGATGCCCACCCAGAAGCACCTGGAATCATTTAACAAACACGTTGGAGCACAGCTGGTCTTTGGAGAGGGTGGAGAGAGCACCTAGCGAGAGAAGCTGGGATAACAGCGAAACACGTAACAGCAGCAGCGACAAAGGTGGATGGTGACGAAGACTGCGGTGAGGAGCAGGTACCCTATCAGGGTGAGTTCCAAGGCGGAGCGGACCTCGGGGTCCGAGAGTGAGACCTTGTAGCGCCCCTGAGACGTCACGCCCAGTCGGAACCCAGCGACCCGCTCGCCCTGCCGCCAGCAATAGTAGATGCCCCTGTCGTCCAGCTGAGTGAAGCGGATGTGGAGATGGTTGCCATGGTCGATGAAGACCCTCATGGACCTATTGGTGCCCTTCAAGTACTGCGTGCGGTACAAGTGCTGGCGGTCCTTGTCCCAGGCCACAGCGTGCTCTGGCCGGGCCCCGGGACAGGAGATGATGAGCCCATGGCTCAGCCTCTGCTGGTGGTACTGGATGGGCACCTGGGGCAGCCAGGGCCGTCTGCCCACTTTGGACACATAGTTTAAAATGGCCATCAGCCTCCCCCGGATCTTCGTTGTATTCTTGCAGGGCACCAGGCAGCTCTGGACCAGCAGCTCGGGCGTGTGGTCCCTGACCTTGGCCTGAAGCTTCCTGGGCACGGCCCGTGAACCACAGGACACCACGTCCGGCATTGTCTTGCGGTAGCGTGGGGAGAGGTCTGGACTCTGCAGGTAGCAGAGGCCAATGCGCCACTGCTCCCCGCGGACCCCGCAGCGGTCACAGGGCGTCCACTCCCAGAAGGTGGTGAAGACGTGGAGGCTCCCACGGTAGTCGTCTGCAAAGGGCTCCTGGCCCAGGTCCTTGAAGGTGGCCACCATTTCCTCGCTGCTCTGGATGTCCACGTCATAGGCATAGAAGTAGTCCCCCTTGCGGGTGCCACAGAAATACAAGCCCGAGTCCTCAGGCTGGGCCCGGAAGACCAACAGGCTGAACATGCGGATGCTGAAGCGGACCAGCAGGTCACTGCCCACCCGTACCTGGGACGCCGCCGTCAGCATCTGCCCGTCGAAGTCCGTCAGCACTTTGGTGTGGCTGCTACCAAGGTGCTCCTGATAGTACCAGACCACAGCAGACACCTCCTCGGGCTTACAGTGGCAGGGCAGCTCGAAGCTCATGTCGGCCAGGTAGGCTGCATTATCAAACATCAGGAAAGCAGGGCAGGGGGTCCTCTGAAAAATGTTCTCCTTCTCCACGATTTCAAAGGCCCGGAGACTCCCCCATGCCCACAGGAGCACAATGATGTGGGGCAGGTTCATGCCTGAAGGAGGGGAGGGTCGGAGCGGGGAAACCAAGGCACCAAAGGCCTATGAGGCTGCTAGAATTCACTGCTGGAGGAAAGGCTGAAGCAGCCAAGAAAAGAAGCAACCATCTGCAGGGGAAGCAGCCAAAGGCAAGGCAATTTATTCCCAGCCGGTGTACAGGAGGTCCTTCTCATGTGACCAGATGCCCTTCCAATGTGATCTCGAGGAAGAACCATTCTAGAACCTGGCCCTCTCTCCCCTTTCTAGAACACTGGCACTCACCCAAGAACGGGTCAGGAGAAACTGGAATGAGAAGCAAGGCTGGGAGCCAGACAGGGAAATCTCGGCCTCCCTGCTCCAGGCCTTGCCCTGGTGACTGGTGGAAAGGTCTTCCCTCTGGTTAATCCAGGAGTTGAAGGAAACCCACCGCCTTCACATCTGGCCATCTGAAGAAGCCTGGGAGGTTGGCCAGACCTAAACTGATGGCTTGGGGCTTTCCCAGAACCAACCCTGCACAGGACCTCAGCCCCTGGGGAAAAATACATCTCAAATGAGGTAGCATTTGACCATTTGCTGATCAAATGTCCATTCATTGGTTTTACGTTATGAATATTCTTGTTAATAGCTATGGAGATCAGTATTGGTTTATTAAGGAAGATTAATGATTTCCCTTCTTCCCTTTTTTGGGTAGAGGCCTTACCAGTGTAGCCAGCATTTGGGGGGCTGTGGGCCACAGCCGTGACAGACTCTGAGGGTGGGAAGCAAAGCTCTTTTAACTTTCTGGGCCCTTGACCATCCTGTGGATCTACACAGTTCAGAATATCAGGCCACAGAGGGGCTGGAGAAGAGGGGAAGATTAGATTCTAGCTTTTGCTCTGCAGATTTCAAGTTGAGAAGGGAAGTCGGTATGGGCTTCTTATTACAATTCTGCGGAGCCCCCAAGGTAACCAAAACATGCTGCCAGTGACCACTGGGGGCCTCGGAAGATAACTGGCCCCATCAATCCACTTGGTACAACCCTAGCAGTTCTTGTAGGAGACTTTCCTCCTCCTGGACCCCACCAGGCTGCTCCTCCAGACCCTGCTCCTCCTGGCTGAGCCCCTCCTTCATGGGTCTAGGGGTGCCCATGGCCTGCAGCTTCTGAAACAAGCTTCTGCAGCTCTCTCTCTCTGCGTGGCTCATCAGGCTCAGGTTCAGGGCGAAGCGACCGGTACTGGCCAGGCCGCGCAAGATCCCCAGCACCACCAGCCGGTCAGCCGGCCTCACATGCTCAGCCAGTGCCATCAGCAGCTCCCCCAGAAGTCCGAACCCCACGTCCGTCTGGAAGAGGTGGCCCAGCTTGGGACCTCCGAGCTGCAGCAGAGCCTGGTAGCGCTCTGGCCCGCTCCGCAAGTATCGCCGCCAATCACGGTAGAACTCCGCTGAGGTCTCGGGCTGCAGGAGTGTTTTCTCCTGGATGGCAAAAGAAGAAAAGGGAACCCAGAGCTTTTCCAGCTGCTCTATGACAGTGAGAGTGAGGGAAACCTATGGGTTCACGGCTGAACTCTGCTACTGCTCTCTCAGCACTGGAAAGCCTGTGGTCCATGGCGGCCGCCTTTTCAGACGAGAGAGGGTCTCAAAGAACCCAGGCCTGGTTTGAGATTCTCAGTTGTACCAGGATATTCCTACTGAGGAATGTGAGAGTAAGGGTTTTTACTCTGAGCAGAGCAGAGGGGACGACTGAAAATCTCAGGAAGAGAGAAAGAACTCAAGGGGAGTGTTAAGGATCTGTCAGGCTAGGTCTCCCTCCCAACACTGCCATAGGATTGTTATACTATACACCGTATAACCCAGAGCAACCCCAACCTGACCTGTGAATGCAAGTTAAAGGACAGAGACCTGCCTAGCTCAACTTTCTGATTTGTTCTGCCCAATTTAACTCCCCTCACTATCCGATGGTTGTTCTTTCTGGGATCAGAGGCAGAAACCTGCCTCTGTTGGCTTAACAGGAGAAACAAGGAAAAGGTATGTGTTGTAAGAAGACAGGACTGGAGCTTTACGGCAGAGAAGCCTGCTGGGCCTCACCTACCGGGGAGATTTCAGTGGTTTCGTCCGGAGAGGTCCTTCTTGGAGTAGTGTGACAGTTCCAGGGCACAGTCCTCGTTCCTCCTATCTTGTCCTTCCGCTCCAGTGGCTTGAGATGCGATGCAAGGACAATACCCCTGCAGGCAAAGGACAGAGATTAAGGGATAGACCTGATGATGTCTGTGGGTGTGAGGGGGCTGGACTTTGCATGATAGAGGCTGAACCTGTTGGCAGGTCAATCTGACAACAACAACAACAACAGCAGCAACAATAGCTGACCGCTTTTAGGTACTTCCCATGTCCCAGACATTCTGCTCAAAAATCTTACAGGTAATAACTCGTTTGATCATAGTAATGGTTATTCTCTCTTACGGATGAGGAATAGAGGCTCACAGAGGTTAAATAACTTGCACAAGAGGACACGGGTAGCAGAGGACAGGACCAGGACTAAGCCCAGAATTGTCTGACTCCAAAGCACGTGCTCTTATCCACTACAGTCCACCATACCAGGGGGACCTGAGAAAAATGACACTGAGCCAACCTGAACTCCTCATAGGAAGCCACCCTCTGCTCCATGGCCCGAAACTTGGCAGCATTCTCCCTCTGGTACTTCTCATCAGCAGTAACGGCAGCCTGCAACTCCTTCTCCAAAGCCTTGAAGTCAATGATGTCATTCCTTTCCATGGCCTGTGCCTGGGAAGGAACAGAGAATGGACATCATTGGAAGGTCAATAACAGGGGAAGGAATGTGGATTCTTTGCTAGCCCACAAAATGACCCAAAAGCACTCCGGATATCTTGTCACTTATATTGGGGGGTTTACAAAATCTAATTCTCTATAGAGTTACACAGTGAGGACGTGCTTAAGATTTGTTGTCACTGAAAAGAGAATGACTTTCAGTGTGGAGCCGTATCTTAATTTCGTTTTCTGCCTCTAAGAATTGGCACTTTCAGTGAGGAAGAGTATGGATCTCAGAATTCAGTCCCTTCACTCTTCCACATAGCGAGTTGCTGTGATTGAGGAGAACCTCACACAAAAGCAGAACTGTGGTTAGCTACTCTTGAGCCCAGGGATAAAAGTTCATCCATCATTTAATGTCTTTAATGAGAAAGAATACTTTTCACCCAAACCAAATGCAATGACTGAGCAGGAAATCAAGTAGAAGGGGCTTAAATGATCCCTGTCCCAAATTCCTCGGTCCAGCCCAGGGCTGGAGGACTAGGTACTGGGGAGACCTCTTTAGTTCTGCCACTGTACTTCTGTAGCCTCCGCGTAGGAGGCCGATTGGCCTGTTCTAAGGGAGCTCACCTATATGGGTTCCAGTTTTTTGTTGTTTTTTTTTTTGTGTGTGTTTTTTAAAAAATATATTTTATTGATTTTTTTTTTTTTTACAGAGAGGAAGGGAGAGGGATAGAGAGTTAGAAACATCGATGAGAGAGAAACATCAATCAGCTGCCTCCTGCACACCCCCCACCGAAGATATGCCCACAACCAAGGTACATGCCCTTGACCAGAATCGAACCTGGGACCCTTCAGTCCACAGGCCGACACTCTATCCACTGAGCCAAACGGTCAGGGCTGGGTTCTAGTTTTGGCTCTTGCTTTACCTTGTTGTGAGACCTCTTTGAGCCTCAGATTCCTGGTGCATTGAGCAAGATGTTATGATTGAGTCATCATCAACAGCCCTAGGGCAGGGTAGCGGAATGTCTGCAACCAAGCCTAGAGCCCTCCCTCTCCACCCCAACCAAGAAGGGGGCTGGGCTGGCCAGGAATTGAACTCAGATGTTCTGGCTCCTGTCCAGTTCTGAGCCCTACCCGGTCGTTGAATAAACAGAACTAACCCTCCTGCTCTCCTGACTGTCACCCCAGCAGCCCTGGCCTTGGTTCCCTTGCTTTCTCTGGGGACGCTCAGATACTCGGAACAGAACAGCTCAGTGCAGACCCGGCACAGCCGCTGTGGTTGCCTAGCAACTGCTCCCACAGCCTGCCCACGTGATCGGCTCGAAGGTCCCCTTTCAGTGTGGTCCCGAGGCGCCTGATCAGATTCAGGCCCCTTCAGGCCCCACTCTGTTTGGAGTAGCCCACGCCTCAGTTTGGGGGCCTACAGCTCCAGCTCTCCCGTTCCTGTGTCCGCGGACGCCAATCCTCCGAGCTAGTGCTCAGGCAGAGGGCTGTCCGCGGCAGAAACGCGACCGCGGCGTCTGCGGGGTCCTTCGGGGCAGCAGGCGCAGGCAGCGGCGCGGCGTGGGCCGGAAGCGCGGGCTCCGTCGGCTGCTTGGAGGTTTTGGCTGAGCCGGAGGGAGGTGAGTTGACGCGCCACGGGGTGGGAGAGTTGCTCCGGGTGGGAAGGGGGACTGTTGTCAGATCTGGGAGGGAGTTTATATGCTATCGCCTCTTTTACTTTACAAATGGGTAAATTGGGGTGTGGAACGGGAAAGGAATGAAAGCCCCCCCGCCCTTCCCTGGGCAGGAGTCATTCTCTCACTGTTCAGCCCCCTCTCCGGCTCCATCTGTGCCATCTTCACTCCTGTGCCAAACTCGCTTCGTGCTTATTCTGTGTTCCTTTGCGAGCCTGCATTATAGCGGGAAGCTGCAGTGAGGTTTGATGCCTGAAGTTACCAGTTTTGTGCAACTGTAGGCAAGTTAGCTATCTTCTCTGTGCCTTGTTGGAGTCATTCATTCATTCATTCATTACTTATTGAGGCCCTGTATTGTGCCAGGCACTAAGTGAAATGGAGTCCTCGCTTAAATTGTGGTTGGGGAGATGACAGTAAACGCATGTATAGATAGATAGATTTCAGCTAGTGGTAAGTGTTAATAAGAATAAAACAGAGTGTGCATGGAGGACTTTTATGGAGTGGCAATTGAAGGTTTCGCAGAAAACGTGACATTTTCATAGAGACCTGAGTGAAATGAAGGAACAAGGTATAAATATCCAAAGGAAGAGCATTTCAGAGGAGAATAGCAAGTACCATGGCCTTGAAGTAGAAATTAGCTTGGTTTGTCCTGTGAATGTCCTTATATAAAAATTTCTGCTGTAACTTCATGGATTTGGGAGAATGAAATTGGCATAGATGTGATAGCTCTTTGGAAGTGTAAAGAATCTCTATGCTTATTTAAAGTTATTGTAATAGTTTATATTAGTTACTGGCCCATGGGGCTCTTCTCTATTTTGTCTACAATCAACACTCTCAACAGGTTGCATTAGGGATTAACCTATTGCAAGAAATAACAGTATCTCAAAAGTAAACATTCCATTTACTTAATATTTAACAGTGCCTACTTAGGCATTGTCAGGTAGGCACAAAGAACACAGGGTTCCTGGATTTAAGAATAGCCAAAAATGCCCGGTCAGCATGGCTCAATGGTTGAGTGTCAACCTATGAAGCAGGAGGTCAGGGTTCAATTCCTAATCAGGGCACATGTCCGGGTTGTGGGCTCGATCCCCAGTAAGGGGTGTGCAGGAGGCAGCTGATCAATGCTTCTCTCACATCATTGATGTTTCTATCTCTCCCTCTCCCTTCCTTTCTGAAATCAATTAAAAAATATATTTTTAAAAAAGCAGAAAAATTGAGGGGGTTAGGGGATCAATGGAGAAAAAGGGGGCCATCTATAATACTTTTAACAATAAAGATAAATTTTTTAAGAAGAATAGCAGCCCAGCTGGCGTGGCTCAGTGGTTGAGTGTCAACCTATGAACCAGGAGGTCATGATTTGATTCCCAGTCAGGGCATATGCCTGGTCCCCATTGGGGGGCATGCAAGAAGCAGCCAGTCAGTGATCCCCTATTATCATTGATGTTTCTATCTCTCTTTCCCTCTCCCTTCCTCTCTGAAATCAATAAAAATATATTTTTTAAAGTAGCCAAAAAATAATGCTGGCTAACATTTATTGAGTCTGGGTCTCTGATAAATTCTTTACACACTATTTTGTTTAATTCTCTTAACCTTTCATGCAATGGAAATTATGCACTCCATTTTCCAGTTAAGGAAACGGGTTTAGAGAGTTGAAGTAGCTTACCTGAAGTTACATAGTTATTAAGTGACAAAGTTAGGACTCACATCCAAGTCTTCCAATTCCAGAGCCCAAGTCCTTAACCCATGTTCTGATCTATTTATTACTTGCAAGCTGTAGAGTTGTTGGTGAGGGTAATCAGTACAGTTAACTGCCATTCAAAACAATTAAATGCTAGTAAAGCTGCAGAAGACGAAAGCAGCATAGGGGAGTGAGAAATTGAGGATCCAGAAAAGCTTGAAAGGGGTGGCATTTGAACTGTACTTTGAATAGAATTTCAGAAATTGAAGTAGAGAAAACCACAAGCTATGTATTAATTAAAAAGAGAAAACAAGTAACTTTAGAATAGAAAAGCCTGTCAGACACCACTGTAATCAAGTGATTACAGTAACATCACCACTAATGGGACAAATTAAAATCAGATACCACCTGATAGGAGATGCACTAAAAAGAACACAGCATCACCCTAGCCGGTTTTGCAGAGTGGATAGAGCATCGGCCTGCAGACTGAAGGGTCCCGGTTTGATTCCGGTCAAGGGCACATGCCTGGGTTGTGGGCTCAATCCCCAGTAGGGGTTGTGCAGGAGGCAGCCAATCAATGAATCTCTCTCATCATTGATGTTTCTCTCTCTCTCCCTCTCCCTTTCTGAAATCAATAAAAACATATCTTAAAAAAAAAACACAGTATTACATCTGTGATGTTCCTGCTAGAAATGCATAACCTTAATCTAATCATTAGGAAACATCAGGCAAACCCAAGTTAAGGGACATTCTACAAACTTACTAGCCTGTAATCTTCAAAAGTGTTAAGTCATAAAAGTCAAAGAAAGACAGGAACTGTTCCAGAGTGAGACTAAAGACATGACTGCTAAATGCAAACATGCAATCCTAGGTTGGATCCTTTGCTGTGCAGGACATTGTTAGAATAGTTTGTGAACATTTGAGGGTCTGTGAATTAGGTGATAATAATGTGTCTGATTTTGATGGTTGTATTTGTTTTGTTCTGTTTTTGTTAATTCTCACTTGGGGATATTTTTTCCATTGATCTTTAGAGCAGTGGAAGGCAGAGAGGGAAGGGGGAAAAGAGAGAGAGAAACATTGATGTGAGAGAGATACTTGATTGGTTACTTCCCGCATGGGGATTGAACCTGCAACCAAGGTACATGCCCTTGACCTGGAATCGAACCTGAGACCCTTCAGTGCAAGGTCCGACACTCAAACCGCTAGGGAATGTTCTTGTTTGTAGGAATCACACACATGACAGCAGTCGTTGGCAAACCTTTTCTATAGTAAATATTTTAGGCTTTCTGGGCCATATGGGCTCAGTTGCAGCTACTTAGCTCTGCTGTTACAGTGTGAAAGCGGCTATAGACAATATAAATGATTGCGCATGGCTGTGTTCCAATAGAGCTGTTTTTACAGGCATTGAAATTTGAATTTCATTAATTTTCACATATCATGAAATATTATTCTTTTGATTTTTCAACTATTTAAAAATGTAAAATTCTTGCCCTAGCTGGCTTGGCTCAGTGGATAGAGCATCAGCCTGCGGACTGAAGGGTCCCAGGTTTAATTCCAGCCAAGGGCACATGCCTGGGTTGCAGGCTCAGTCCCCAGTAGCGGGTGTGCAGGAGGCAGCCGATCAATGATTCTCTCTCATCATTGATGTTTCTATCTCTCTCTCTCCTTCTCCCTTCCTCTCTGAAATCAATAAAGAAATATATATTTTTTTTAAATGTAAAATTCTTAGTTTGAGGCTTTATAAAATCAGGCAACAGGCCAGATTTGGCCACAGGCCATAATGTGTTAACTCCTACAGTAAACTTTTAAGTGGTGATGAGGCATTGTGTCAGCAACTTATCCTATCCTATCCTGTCCTATCCTATCCTATATAATAAAAGCTCAGCGACCTAACCACAGAACGACTGGTCATCCAGTCGCTATGACGTGCACTGACCACCAGGGGGCAGACGCTCAACACAGGAGCTGCCCCCTTGTAATCAGTGCGCTCCCACAATGGGAGCGCCACTGGGCTGACCGGGATGAGTGGCGCTCCCACTGCAGGAGCAGCCGCTCAGAGGGTGGGTCCACAGACCTCAGCTGACCGGAATGAGCCGCACTCCCATAGCAGGTGGATCCCCGCAGGCCACGCCCCACCAGTGTACGAATTCCATGCACCAGGCCTCTAGTTCTCAAATAATTCAGGAAAAAGAAAGTTATTTATACTAGTTTTGAAGCCTTCTGGTATTAAGTTATTTTTTTTTTAATTAGTATTAAAAGAAGAGGAGTATGTGAACAGACAATGAGTTGGTGTAATTGGAAAGGAAATGTGTGAAGGGATATGGTCAACTATAAGCTTAGACATATAAAGTTTATAAATTTGCATGTGGGGCCATGTTGTGGAGGCCTTGATTACTTTGTCTGAATCTAACTCCTCTTGAATTTTAGCATCATGGATACTGACTTGTATGATGAGTTTGGGAATTATATTGGACCAGAGCTAGATTCTGATGAAGATGATGATGAATTGGGCAGAGAGACCAAAGATCTTGATGAGGTAAGACAAATACATTGCTTTTTTCTTCTCTCTCTCTTTTTTTTTTTAAAAAAAACACACAAAACAATAAAGTACTGAATCCTCTGTGCTCCCATAATATACCTTATTACATTATAATATGACCTACTGGGGTCTCATAGTGCCCTAAGAAAACTTAGCTACTAAAGCTCCAAAAGAAAAATATAAGGTGGTCACCTTTTCCAAGTGCAGCTGCACTGGGAACTCCCTCAGAAGCTCAAGTTTTGAAAGACGAATAAAAGCAGTAGAAAGAGAAGGTGCAGATTCCTATGACTCCCCTTCAGGAGAGCTATGGAGGATGAAGTTCAGAGTGGTCTGAGACCTGCAAAGACACTGAAGATGCTTTTATGTTTCAGCAATGTTCAAAACAAGAAGTAGGTAGGCCCACTGCTCATCGGTGGAGGTGTGACATTAATAAAACAGCAGAAAACCAGAATCACAGTCCTGGCTGCTAC